ATCGCGGTAATGGTATCTATTACTAATACCGTATCATGAAATTTCAGTACAGTGCAATACTGTATCATTAATGATTGGCAGAAAAAATTTGGTGCAAAATCGGTATAGCACGGTTCGTAATTCGGTCGGCACAATAGTTTGGCAAAAAAATCCACCCCTAATTGCTACTATGCAGCTGGAGTTCACTTCCCTTCAATGCTCGACTGATGCTGAACTCGCCAGACAGCTGCGCAGCTGCAGGCGCGGGTCCCAGCGTGCAGGCCTCTAGTTATTATTATTTTTTTTTAAATTTCTAAATGAAAGGCAGGATTTGAGTTTGTTGGATATAAAGTTTGTTACTGATCCCGGCCCGGGGCGGACCACTTCTCGGGCCTGTTCCACCACCGTAGCACGATATTGTCCGCTTTAGGCTTACCATTCCCTCACGGTTTTGTTTTTGGGAACTCACGAGCAACTTCCCAGTGGGTCACCCATCATGGGATTGCTCTAGCCCCCTTCTCGCTTAACTTCGGAGTTTCTACGGAACCCGAAGCCAATGAGCTCCCAAAAGGCCTCGTGCTAGGTAGAGATGGGAATATACATATAAGGATCACTCCCCTGGGTGATGTGGGATGTCACAATTCACCCCCCCTTAGGGGCCCGACGTCCTCGTCGGCACACCACGACCAGGGTTAGGCTCTGATACCAATTGTCACATCCCAACTCAGGGCGAATCACTTCCCGGGCCCGCTCCACCACCGTAGCACGATATTGTCCGTTTTGGGCTTACCATTCCCTCACGGTTTTGTTTTTGGGAACTCACGAGCAACTTCCCAGTAGGTCACCCATCATGGGATTGCTCTAGCCCCCTTCTCGCTTAACTTTGGAGTTCCTACAGAACCCGAAGCCAGTGAGCTCCCAAAAGGCCTCGTGCTAGGTAGAGATGGGAATATACATATAAGGATCACTCCCCTGGGTGATGTGGGATGTCACAGTTACTATTGAGCATGAACGGTTCTAATTTGTTACTGTTGCTATTACATATTGTGCACTAACCTCGATTTCCACAAAGCAATCAACGAAATATTACCTCATTATTCAAGAAGCAATTAAAGAAAAATTGTGCAATTTCCACAAGCAAGCATATATGAATAATAACATAATGTTTGAGGAAAAAAAACAAACGAATACTTATGTAGCTAAACAAATGAGAAGCTGGTGTATGAAGGTAGCGAAGTAACTAAAACAAATAAGTGAATTCAGATAATGTTTTGAGAAAAAATAGTTGAAGATGATGTTGGCTGAAACTTTATATACGAGTCCAATTTTAAAGGCGTTGATTACTTATTAAAAAAAATAAAAAAAAAGATTTGGTGTTAGAATTTCAATTTTTTTTTTTTAAATGCTCACAAAAACATTTTACAGCAACGTTACGTTAAATTAATTCAAAAAAGATTAACATAAACAAAAATGTGTACCTAATCAAATTATCACATAAAATTATAAAAACTTGAAATTTAGGGATCTATTATAAAGACTCTCCTATTGGAGGTAATATTCCTTTAGAGACACAAAGATTCTCTTTAGGTTCTTAAATGAGTACTCAAAGGTGATGGTGAAGTCCCTAAATAGGTACTCCCATTGGAGATGCTCTAAGAGAATGCAATATTTACTTCCTATATATCCTATGAGATTCTCCCAGTTCATAAGGACTTTACTATCTTAAAAGGTCCTCTCCTCGACGGGTATAAATAGACCCATTTAGCGTTCATCTCTAGTAGTGCAATCTCTGCACACTTATTCTCGTGCCCACTGCGTGAGTCTTAATATTGCTTACTAATTTGACAGTCGGAAAGCCTTTGACTAGCATACCCCCTGGCTTACTCACGATTGTGTTCTCTTTTACATGTATGCGAGTTTGAGCATCCCCACCTTTTCCAACGGTGCACAAATTTGGTCAAACATAATTGTGAACAATAATTTGAGTAGAATATATAATTCGGTAATCAAAAATTTAGGTTGATGCTCAATGGAGAACGTTTCATGCAATTCAACTGAAAAAGAAAAATATCATCAATTAAGACTGTGTTTTAGAACTTAGATTGCAATGATGGATCTTGTGAATTGGTTTGTAGTAGAAATATCCTTAGCACAGTGTCAGGAGCGTGTTGTGGCCTATTTTACTAAAGGCTGCGTCAAATAGAGATTGAGAATGGCTTGAGGAATTCTGTGTGTTGTTCCTCATGCCTTGTGCCTTTATTTATAGTAAACATGATAGGTTTCCTTGCCTTGAAAGTAATATAATCATAAAGGATAGGATCTTCTAGTTTCATAAATTTGATCTATTAATGATTTACCCAATTACATATGTGTCGTAATTAATATCAAGACACATACACTTATATATTAAAAAGGAAAAGCATACAAGTATAGCTAAAAATTAATTGAATTTATAGATAAGCATATACCACATATTAAGAAAGAAGAATAAATTGCATAACGAAACATTTCAAGAATATTAAAAAACATATAAATTATAGGAATTTTCAAATTATGTTTTGAAAATTTCACGATTCCTCTTATTTTAAAATTTTCGAGATTACTCGAATTTTGAAAATTTTGTATATTCCTCCAAAAAAAATTGTAATCCGATCCAATATGGTTTCAAAATTTTAAAACGGAAGTTGAAAACGAAATTTTTTAGATTACTCCAATTTTGAAGAGATAAATTTTGTAACATCCCACATCGTCTAGGGGAGTGGATCCTGTAAGCCTTATATGTATATTCCCATCTCTGCCTAGCACGAGGCCTTTTGGGAGCTCACTAGATTCGGGTTCCGTAGGAACTTCGAAGTTAAGCAAGTTCGGCTGAGAGCAATCCCAAGATTGGTGACCTACTGGGAAGTTCTCATGTAAGTTTCTAGAAACAAAACCATGAAGGTGTGGTAGGGGCCCAAAGCGGACAATATCGTGCTACGGTGGAGTCGAGCCTAGAATGTGGTGAGGGCCCTGGCCAAGATGTAACAATTTGGTATTAGAGCCAATCCCTGGCTAGAGGTGTGCCGATGAGGATGTTGTGCCCCTAAGGGGAGTGGATTGTAACATCCTACATCGCCCAGGGGAATTGATCCTGTAAGCCTTATATGTATATTCCCATCTCTATCTAGCACGAGACCCTTGGCTTCGGGTTCTGTAGGAACTCTAAAGTTAAGCGAGTTCGGGCAAGAGCAATCCCAGGATTGGTGACCCACTGGAAAGTTGCTCATGAGTTCTCAGAAACAAAACCGTGAGGGCGTGGTCGGGGCTATGAAACCCTAAAGTTAAGTGAGTTCGGGCGAGAGCAATCCCAGGATGGGTGACCCACTGGGAAGTTGCTCGTGAGTTCCCAGAAACAAAACCGTGAGGGCATGGTCGGGGCCTAAAGCAGACAATATCTTGCTACGGTGGAGTCGAGCCCGAAATGTGGTGGGGACCTGGGCCGGGATGTGACAATTTGGTATCAGAGCCAATCCCTGGCCAAAGGTGGGCCGACGAGGACTTTAGGCCCCTAAGAGGGATGGATTGTAACATCCCACATCGCCCTGGGGAGTGGATCCTGTAAGCTTTATATGTATATTCTCATCTCTACCCAGCACGAGGCCTTTTGGGAGCTCACTAGCTTCGGGTTTCGTAGGAACTCCGAAGTTAAGTGAGTTCGGGCAAGAGCAATCCTAGGATAGGTGATCCACTAGCAAGTTGCTTGTGAGTTCCCAGAAACAAAACTGTGAGGGCGTGGTCGGGGCCTAAAGCGGACAATATTGTGCTACGGTGGAGTCGAGCTCGGGATATGGTTGGGGCCTAAGCCAGGATGGGACAAATTTTATTTGAATCCATATAATCTCTTTTTACACCCAACTTAAACTTTAAAAGTAAATTGTCCTTTTTATACTATAATATAATTACCATTAAGTACAAGATAAAATTAACAATAAAACTAAAATTTATTAATAAATCCACACCCAATAATCAAACACTCCATATTATTTATCCTACATTCACCCTCCATCAAACTGGTTGCGCAGCAAATGCAACCCCTGAATGATTGGAAGATGTTGGCATATATTGTCTGGTAAACTACGACTTAAATTGTTTAGGGTTAGAGCCAAAACTATCAAAGAGGACATGTTCAAGACAACAACATGAATATGACCTTTTAGAGCATTAGCTGCACAAAGAACCACTCCCCCGATCTTTATTGCCAATCAAGTTTAGAATTACTGAAAAATCAAAACATACGTGATACGTATGTATATTGGAATGGTTCCTTTAAAGATTCAAGTCGTTGAACTAAAGCTAATCAACTTCAACCTATGTAGATGAGACAATTCCGGTGGCAAGGTACCACTGAAATTGTTGTTTCTGAATTCCAGCTCAACGGGAAATGACAGGTTTCTTGGGTGTGGATTTGAAGAGTAGCTTGGTTTGTGCTGAAGTTGGCTTGTCCTGCTACTGAACCTATTTTTAAGATAGGTATGTATATACAAGTGTATTGGACCAGTAGCAACAAAGTTGTCAATGAGGGAAAACGAGTTGTCACCATTGTTGTGCGCTATGAACCAAGAAATCAGAAGAAATAGGAACTCAAATTAGTCTTTTAATCTATTGGGCAAGTGAATATTTGGCGAAAATTACATATTGTCAACTGCTAAGTTTAAAAGTGTAATGAATTTTATGTGGTTTTTTATTTTTTTGAATGGTTGTAAAGATAAAATTTACATATTGAATTGGGTTGTGAGGGTGATTTAGGTAGTAAATTTGGGTTTACAGATATATCAGTAATTTAATTAACAATTATATGGATGTAGAAAATAAGTTGGATATAATAGGAGATTATATAGGTTCAAATAAAATTTTCCTTCTAAAAACCCTATGTTGTTTCCGATCTACTCCATTCGAAAATCATCCTTAAGGGTGAACTTAAGTTTGGGCCTTACAATGGGCCTTGAATACCGCCCAAGAAGAATCCCCAATTTAAGCCACCACTCGAGTTGTGAACGAAATAAAAGCGAGCAAGAATCAGAGGAAGAGAGAGAGAGAGAGCGAGCGACAGAGGGAGAGGGAGAAAGAGATGGGAGTGACAAAGGAGCAAGTGAAGTCTTCACTGACGTCAAAACTGAACCCTGCACATCTCGTAAGCTCTCTCTGTTCTCTTTAGATTAGTTTTTAATTAGGCGATGTTCAATTTGCACTTCACTTTAGATTCTTTAATTTTCTTTAGTCAGGGATTGGACTGTTGTGGTAATATAGGGTTTTGCTTCATTGTTTTATGTAGTTCAATTATGTTATAGTAATTGAATTTAAACACTTTAAACTGATTTAAATTGTCCAAGATTTAACTAATTATCGGTAAATTGTGGAAAATTCCGTGTCAATATAGGGGAATTGGAGTTGGTTTTTTTTGTTCTTAACAACTCATGAAAAGGAAAATTTGTTCGATTTGTTTTCGATGTGCACTTGATCAGTTCAAACATGTCTATGTGTTGTGAGAAGGAGAAAATTAAGAAGGGATTGTTGAGGACTTTTTGTATCAGTTGCACGAAACGTATCGTGGCTCTACTAGTTACATTTGTGCTCTAAATTCCAATGGTAAAATGTACACAGCCTTTGGTGGGAAAGATTTTGAGGCTGTCTTTGTATCTGCGTTTTAGTTTTTCCTTTATCTTCGTTAAACAATGTCATCTGAAAGGCAGTCGAGTAGCAGCCAATATCGTTTGAGAGGTCAATCAGATTAATGTTAGTGTTATCCATCTGCATATGCACAAACTTGATTTTTACGGTTGACACCCAGGGAAGTCCTGTAATTGTTGTGGTATGATTCGTAGGCTTTGATAATGAATCTAGATTTGGCAAAGGAAGAAGGTATTACTTCTTTTTCAACTTTTAGAACAAAAGTTAAATAACTGACATTAGGAGTTAATGTGTTATTCTGTGCTAGTTTTCAATTTCGTTAGTGTCAAATACGATGGGACTTTTGTTTGGAGACAATGTTCTTTTGGGTATGATCTCATTGTGTGGGTGTTTTTGCTATTCAATTTTGCAATTTCTGATTGAAAAAAATTAAGGACAACAACCTTTTGAAACTGAAAATAAATTAAAAAAATAAGAGCCCTTGTCCTCCCCTAACCCTTAAACAAAACCCACAAAATTTCTCACTTTATTCTCCCTAAAGAATACACGAGAATCCCAACATCCTTTTTAGACATTTAGAAGTTTCAGCCATCAAGACTCCAAGAATGTAAGATGCAGTGTGGATTGGCAACAGATATTGGGGAAGATATTTTACCTGTAATAGTTGCTTAGTCTAGTTTGCTCTTCCCGCTATTACTTTATAAACATAAGAGACCCTACAAGGTTAGAAGTTTGGTGCATCAGCAATCATTCTTAAATTTAAAAGAAATTTCAAGCATTTGGTTGTATTTGCTTTATTTTAATTGCTGCCAAGTAAGAAGATATGGATTTTTTCATTGAGTGGATTGTTTAATTTAGGTCAACCTACATTCTTTGCCCGTGTATTATGGTTTCCACCTTCTTTTCTGTAGCATAAAACTCGGCAAAACTACTCTTATAGTCTTCTATCGTTTTCTTGCCATGTCAAATTGCTCCAAATCAGACATTCCATTTAGATAATGATGGAGCACCGAAGAGCCACTAAACAAAGCGGAATTGAGCCAACCCTTAGGGACTTATTGGTATTCAGGACAACTAGAGAGACCAAATGTGGAAATTTTCCGCTATTTTATGCAAATTCCTTGCTTGTAGTACAGCTGATCATTATATATGATTATATCTCTATGGTATGGCTGAAAATGCATGAAAAGCTTAAATAACTTTTACGTTCCTCTCACATGTGCTTTGCTCTATTAATTTGCAACCTGTACATTTTTGAGTTCTTCTTAATATCATTGTTTGACCAGACCACTCTGTCTTTCCAACAATTTAGTCATGACAATCAAATTAGTGAATGATCCTGCCAATGTGTTGCTTTTGGAAACATTTGATCGTAGGCTTCATTTAGTGAAAGGGATTACTGTGAGCGGTTAAGCTAATTTGGCATGCTTACTTGAATTGAGTATGCAAAATTTCCACTTGAATTAAGATTTCAGTTTGCTTGGTCGATAAAGTTAAAAGTGAAGTAAAAATACAGAAACCTGTGCTTTATTCAGTCCTTTAGAAACAGATTGCTGTTATTGTAAACCCTTTTAAAAGATTTTGTGGAATGACTTGCATTTGCAATGCTTATACCTCTCTGAATCTGTCATTTCTTGTTCCTAATTTATTTTTGAACTTTTGTATTTCAGGAAGTAATTGATACATCTGGAGGGTAAGTTACTTCGTGGAATCAATTTTACATTTAATTTAAGAAATTTCGGAGTGCTTTTCCCCCTCGTTTTATTTAATTGAATGTTGACGGTTGTCAGATGTGGTGCTAGCTTTGCTATTGAGATAGTATCAGCGCAATTTGAAGGAAAGAGGTTGCTGGAGAGGCATCGGCTGGTAAATTCTTCTTTGGAAGAGGAGATGAAGGAGATTCATGCGCTCTCGATAAAGAAAGCTCTGACACCAGAGCAGTGGAAACAACAGCTGGAGTCTCAAGTATCTAAACCTGCTGAATGAACACAATTTCGAAAGGTTTCAAGTTTATTCTGTAGCTCATAACAATATATTTCGAGTTTGCTGGAGAATTAGACGAAATGTTTAAGTGTGAGAATATGGTGATAATATTATGATAATTATTGTAACAGTTTGTATACTATTGTGGATGCGTCACGTAGGTGTCTTTTTTTTCTTTTCCTTCTGCCAAGTAATGGACAAACTTGGGCTGGACAGGGTCAAAGCCAGTTTTTTGGCCGGAACCGATTACTTGACCAGCCATGCCGGTGGCCATAGTCCCGGTGCTGACACGTTTGCGGTCAAATTTAGGTGATTATGGGATCAGATACCCATAGATGTAGTTCAGATTTGATGTAAGGTGATGATGCAACGAAGGCCTAAGATTTGCAGTTAATTCTAGATCAAATGCTTCATCTGTTATTAGAGAATTTCAAGGCCCCTGATAACATTTTGTATTTGGGTAGTGCTATTGACACTCCTTTCTCTCTCTCACTCTTGCTAATGTTTGTCCGTTCATCTTCTTCAATTGATTCGATCTAACAGGCAGAAATTAAGAAGGGTGTGTGAGAGGTATAAATAGGTGTGTAGATAGCACCATCTTTTTATTTTTGTTGTAGAGAAAAACTATTTGGAGGGAGAATGAGGGAATTCTTAAGTTCATTTGTTATGATCTGAGGCATAACCACTTTTAAATGGTAGTATGGCATATTACACAAATATTCCTAGTTCAATAGGGCATAATCAAGGCTACTTAGTGTTACAGTATAATGATATTCCCTTTCACTTGTAAGTGAGAGGTCTTAGATTTGATTCTCGCCAAAATCGAATTTGAACCATATTATTGTTGATCCATTGTAAGGCTAAACTCACCATCTCTCTTAATGTAAATAATATCGTTTGTTAAATAAATAAATAAAAAGAGCGTAATCAATTGTGATAGCAATGGCCAGATACACCCATTAGTGGACTGCCATAAATGTCCTAGCAGCGCCGACAATGCAGGTCGAGGTGGTGGTGTGCGATCTTCCTCGGCAGATGGTGGGGGTACAATTTTAGCAGCAGTTGCCTCAATCATTGAAGGAGTTACAATTATTCTAAGGAAGTCTGGGTCGTATGGTGGACTAGGATGATTCGGCCATGTGTAAGGATATAGCCGTTTACGGGAGACTCTGGATTTGAACTTTCAACGAAGGCACCAAACTGTTGGAGCAGTTTTTGGATAGCTGCAGGGAACCCGACCTGCACATACTAAGAACAAGCAAAGATCGTTAGGCCAAGCACCGGAGTGGTGGTTCTCGGTGTAGGCGCTCCGATGGTGAAGTCAGGTTATGTGTAAACCATGAGTATTGTAGTGTTTGTGGGTTTATAATGTCTAACCCTCTGTGAGGAGTCGGTTCTCCTATTTATAGGCCAGGAGGAGTTGGCTTGCGCTTTCTGACACTTCTATGAGTCGTCAAAATATGTGGAGGGTTAATGGCATAACCTGTCCAGTCGGACATGTCCCCCATTCAAAGTAGAGACATCTGCTCCTTGTGGAACTTGTGTTGTCATATCAGCCATGCTAATCAGTCAGCCCTGACACCCTATGGGGGTGAAAGGGTGTTGCCCTGATTAGACATGACAATTTGTTGAGTGGGAGCAGTTGGCACGGAAAAAACCCTGGAGGTAACTCACTCCGCTCGGAGTGGCTTGAGTCTGTGGGCGGAGAGAGTGCATAAAATAGTGCTAGGAACCACCTTATTGTATCATCCCTTGAAGGGTGGTATGCGATATCGCCTCCACTCTGGGCTTGAGCTATTGCCTGTTGGAGTGGGTTTAAATGTTCATTGTTCTGTGAAGGTGAAAATTATGGTCTCATTGTTCGTTGTATTTTTCGTTTTTGACTTGGCTTAGTTTTTCATCAATTTCTTCCCAACTTCTATTTGCAGTCACTTTTAACCATGATTTGTCGCGGTTAATTGAAAAGGTTTGTAGAGCTCCGGTATGCTTATTGGCTTGGGTGTCTACACCACCTCCTTCTCTTGATTTGCCTTTATTGGTAGTGTCGCTTGTGGGAATCTCACAAGCTTCTTTGTTTTCTTCTACTTGGTGGCTGCGTTCGGATAGGGTTTCATTGATGGATTATGGGGTCTTCCTTCCTCCCATCTCTGAAGCGTTAAGTGGTCAAAAATTTGACTTTCGTTGGTGTCCATGGTTCCTGCTGCTCAGGTGGTGCTGCAGTGGCGGATGTAGCAGAAGACTAGGGTTTTGTTTCAGTGTACTTTTGTTTATGGGCCTTACCCCTTTTTAGGCCCTTGGTGCTAGTTTTTAAGGTCAATTTTTGCTTTGTATATATGGTGTGAGCCTTCGTTAGTCTTTGCTGTGTAAAGTTTATGTGGTAATAATATTAAACAATTGTATCAAAAAAAAAAAAAAAAGTTAGGGGCGAAAGACGAAGTTAAAAAAAAAAAAAATTAAAGAATGGGGTCTTTATAACTTTGTGGAGTGTCAATAGAATTACCAATAAGCAATTTGTAAAAAAAGTTAATAGAATTACCAATGAGACTCTCCCATGTGCTCATCTTTGTCCCTACTTATCTCTCTTTTCCGCCTTCTTTATCGTACAAACCCAATAGCAACCCTACTCAAATTGAACCACAACACACTAGACCAACCATCATCTTCCCGACCGGTTGGATTTCAACGACCAATGCATCCTACGGCTAATTTGATGCAGGTGTGTGATATTTGGTGAACTGGGTCACATCGAATGACAACAAACCCAGCATCACCAATACATTTTGCACGTGTGGGGTTGGTGCACATTGTTGGTCTAGAAGATAATCCAAACTGAAAATGGCAAGCCCGAATAAAACTTAGCTACTCAAAGTATGAGTAGGGGTTCATACTCAAAATTGTTTATTGTCGATTTATAAAATTCTGTGTTTATAATGTTCATATTATAAACCACTCTATAAAGATCGCATCTGTAAAAGATCAATTTAAACTAAAGTCGTTTAGTCTAATGGTATAAAAATAGATGAACGAAATGGGTAAAAATATTACGGACTGTCTATGTATAAACAATAGATTGACTAATCTATAATAGATTGACTAAACGACCTTAGTTTATGTATTTGCTTATTCTTGAGTAAACAAGCATTGTTCCTTTAGGAATTAGTCGGATTTAGCAGATGCAGAGTTTGAATCCATAATGTCTTCGAATTACCAAGCTTCTGGTGAGCTGTTGAAATTCTTCTAAATAGAAAGTGTAAAGTAGTTCACCTGCTTACTTTGGAATGCAAAATGGCAAGGAAAATTCTTTTTGGCTCTTCATAGCAGATAGATTTTGTGTGAAAATTAATGAGCTATATTTGATCATATAACATTCCATTAGAGATTGCCTAAGAGCGCTTCCAGAATGGTGCCATCTCCTAGAAGATAATGGATTAAATCCCCTTCCTCCATCAAAATCTCCTCTAGCCCTCCTAAGTCCACTGGGCTATGGGGTAACCCAATTAGACCCAAGCTAGAATTACCTAGCCTAGCTCTAGGGTTATGTGATGACACACTAAGGTCAGCCACTATTAAAAAATTATAAGAAAATAATAAAAAAGTTCCTTAAAAATACAAAAAAAATATATATATATATATATATATAATCAAATACAACAAAATAAATAAATAATAATTAAAAATACAAAAAAAATTATAATTTATTTTCTAGAAATATCTAACCATGTTCTTCCACTTTACACTACATTTCAACATTTTCAAATACTTCAACCAATCTTTTATTATTTTCTGAATTTAAAAATTATTTTTTAAATTATTTTATAAAAGATAATAATAATATTTTAATATGAATAACCTGAACTATTCAGTTTATAGATGAAAATGCACTTGAACAATTATTGTTCATTAAAGGCAATTACTATTCACTTGGGAGATTGAATTGCCTATTGGTCAGAAAGGCTTAACAATATTGGAATTGCACTTAAACAATTACTGTTCATTAAAGAAAATTACTATTCACTTGGGAGATTAAATTACCTATTGGTTAGAAAGACTTAACAACATTGGAACTGCACTAAGAAGCATGTCTATGCGGAGCCAATCAATACGACACGCATCACATGCATGTATGCTGCTAGACGCAACCAATTCGACACACATGCTAGGAGCATCTGCTTATTTACAAGGCATACATTATGTCAAAGCCCAAAACAGCTCCATGCGAAACACATGCGTGGCGCATATGTTGATTTACGAGGCATGCATTTTTTTTTTATTTTGTTTTTTTGAAAAGGCGAAAGAACAAATTGCTCTCGAATCACTGCGTGTCAATAAATGTAAAACATGGCAAGAGCGTTTGCAGCTTCAAAATATACGCCTTAGAACATCTTCAAGGGAAATGTTAAATTATAAAAGTTTATTATAGTTTATGGCTAATGTGGCAATCTGAAGTCTTATGTCAAATTTTATACTTTTCCGACCATTGTCAAATATTATTTTATTATTTAAATAGAGCTTTAATGGTTGTAATTATTAAAAAAAATGAAATAGAATTTTTATTGATTGAAATATTAGTAGAATAAAGGATCCACTATTAAAATGAATTAAAAATAAATTTCACATTGATGTCAAATTTAATTATAAATCACAAAGTCTTCAAATCCAGTCAGCAAATAATACTTCGATTGAAAAGACTTTTGATGTCAAATATGCACAATAACATTATACCTAGAAATTTGAAATCTACTTTAAAGATGCTCTTATGTCCCAACGGCTCCATGTGAAGTTAATCAACGAGACACATGGCAGACATGTCTGCTCCATTAAAAGGCATGTAATAAAGTTGATAATAAAAAATATTTTTATGAAAATTTGCACAAACATTGCCACAAACACCTCCTAAATTATTAAAAGTGTGTGTACCTGCGACCTCTACTAAAAGTTTTGTCTAATTACCACTTAGAATATCTCCAAACGAGATGTCAAAATGTCCAAATCAGTAATAACAATAACAAAAGACAACAACAATGATTTCCAACTGAGAAGCCAAATTTGATGTGGTATGACATGGATTGACATATCTCCCACTTGCTGCCAAATTTGACAGCAGCGTCAAATGCTTTATAATTAATTATTAAATATTTTTTT